GGTTTTCAGGAAGCTCTCGTATTCAGCCAAGTTGTTGAAGCAGGGGGCGTTTGGGTACGGGATGGGAGGCAGGCGAGGCGCGTACAGGGCCAGCAGCGGGTCGAAGCTGTCAGAGCTGACATCTAGCCGCGGGCTGGGCGGGCGCGCTGGGCTCCCGGCGCCAGCCGACCTCGCCCCCCGATCCCGCTCCTCCATGTTTGAAAGGCCCGCAAGCCGAGGCCGATGGGAAGAAGGAGCGGGGCCGCCAGAGGGCGGTACTGCGCAGCCGCAGCGCGGGATCGCACTGCGTTGGCCCGGCCGCCGGGGGGCAGCATCTGTCCGCGTCTGGTGGGCAAGCCTCTGTGCACAGGTGACAGGTGAACGATGTCGACCGGTGCTTCCATCTACTTTAATGCGGTGTTTCCCACCTATAGGATTATCATTTAGGGAATTTATTAATACTTCAGAGTTAAATCCTGGTAGTGGTGGTGGTGTGCTGTGGAGTGGTGACCCTGCAGAGAGTTTCTGAGGCTGTAAATCTTTGCGGGAGCCGATAAGCCTCATCTTTCTCACGTGGAACGGCTGGTAGTGTCGAACTGCTGACACTGAGGTTAGCAGCCGAACTCGTAACCACTCTGCTACCAGAGCATAAACCCTGGGTGGGCATTTTAACATACTCCCTAGGTGATTCTGATGTGTTCTTTGAGCTGCACACTAGGGATTCCTGCTTTGAGCTGGGGCAAAGGGAAGCAAGAGGGCAATGAGTATCCCATTCTGCTTCCACGAAGATTATGATTCAGAAGTTAGCCTTTCTTAACTCAAATTCTGGTTATCAAAGGACAAATTGGGAGCAAATTAGTCTCTCGGGCTCTTCTTCACTTTCACTGATATGATGAAAAACTGTACTTGTCATTAAGATTGCCAGAAGGATTGAGACTGCACACATTAAATGCTCTGAGTGTTGGCTAATATTGGCCAAGTGTACAATAGACTATGAATGATGGTAGATCAGAGTCCTCTATTTCTTACCTTCCCTGCAAAATGATATTTGCACCAAGATCAAAGAGACTTTGTGCTAAAGAAAATGATCACTCATTTCCTAAGCATTGCTAAGAAACTGCAGGGAATGATGATCCAAGTCTTGGAGAGCAGGACACAGTATTTACCAAACCACTTGTTACTTTATAGCTTCCGTTCAGCAAAGCATTCTTTTTGTACATTAAGCTACAGTACACTGAAGGCCTAGGTATCACGTCCTTAGCTAGCAGAGCCCAGGTGTTTCCACTTACCTATGGGTCACACATCATAGCCCATTCATAACTCCATCTGATATCAACTAGGATTAATGCTATACTAGTTTTTCTTGTATTTAAAAATTACCCTTAAGATGTGGAGAATTGGTGGTGCAGTAATTAATTGCTTGGCTGCTGACCCTGCTGCTCCTCAGGAAGAAGACAGACAACCTGCTTTTGTAAAGATTTCCGCCTTGGAAAACTCACGGGGCAGTTCTACTCTGCCCTCAACACTCACTGAGAGTCAGAATCAACTTGATGACAATGGCTTGCTTCAAGAGTTGAAAAAGCCCAAGAGAGTACAATTCACTGTTAGAAGTCAAATTGAAATTTAATGTAAAACTGAAATGTACAAGTGTTTGACTAATAACCTAAAGGTCAGCAGTTTGAACCTACTGAGACCTGGTGTGGCGCTATAGAATAAAGGGAATGCAAGGTTGATTTGAACCACGAGGTTGGCAGTTCAAACTCACCAGTTGCTCCTCAGAAACCCTAGACAAGGTCGCTGAGTTGAAACCAACTAGAAAGTACCAAACAACAGAGGCGCACGTTGAAGAAAGGCCTGGCGATCTACTTTTAAAAGGTCACAACTTTGAAAATACTAGGAGTTTTATTCTGCCAGTTAGAGTTGCAGTGGGTTCACAGCCACTGGCTTGGTTTGAGTCAAATATACACTGGTGTGCACACATCCTTTAAGACATAACCCATGTAGCAATGGTTTCTAAGTACTGTCACTATGTAAAAGGTTTGGTTATGGCAAGTCTATTAAACCCAGTATGGTGCTCCATAGTTCAAAACCTCCTCCTCAGACTCAAAAAGCTGCATAAACTTGCCTGAAATTCAAGTGTTGATTCACACAGAAAACAATGAAATTTCTTTGGTTGTTCTCAAACTTGAATACGTATTTACATCTACCTGTTTTAATGTAATATGCCACAAAATACTTGTTAAAGTGCCGTTGAGTTGGTTCTGCGACCCTGTATAAGATTTCCAAGGAGCGGCTGGTGAGCTTGAACCACTGACCTTGCAGTTCAAATGGCTTTCCAGTGTGGTGCATTAACCCACAGTACTATTGCCATTAAATTTGCCTAATAGCTTACCTGACATGACTGCCTCACTTGGCCTGTCAGAGTGTACGCCGAGGGACTGGCCGTCCTAAGCATGGCACAGCAATGACCATAGTCTCGGGGTTGAGAATCAGATTACTGAACTCCCAATGGTCATCAGTTTAAGAGTTTGGAATCAGCATTTTAAAACCCTCCAAGTAATTTACTTTGCATCCAGCAGTCTATGAACCATTGCTGTGATGAAGGGATGTGTCCTAGTTCAAACAAACAGACATATACAAAAGGTAGAGCCACATATTGCATTTATATAAGACAAAAGAAGAAAAATTAGGCCAAGCAAGTTGAAACATTTATTTTTTTTCTGAGGGTTTAGCAATTACCAAACAGGAGCCACATCTATCCCTGTGGATTGGGACAGACAGGAAGGGAAAATGTCACTGACAGATGGGATGTCAGTTAGTGAGGGATGAGGCCAGCCGTCATCCTTTCAAAATTACATTTTCTTCTTGGCTGTAAATGTTGCAATGTGAAACCAGGCACTGGGATGTGGGCTGTGTCTTAATTAATTCTTAATAGCACCAAATGATTTTCTTCCTCTGAAATGAGGACAAGAGGAAATGAGAGTTCTCTCACCACCTATCCCACTGTGTCCTCTTTTCAGAGGCTAACAGCTTGGCAGTAGACAATTGCTGCTGTTGTCCACCCATCTCCACTGGTCCAACAGCAGGAGGAGCCATTATGACACCCTTGCCCCCTGCTGCCTACCTATGACTCCAAGGTGAGTGTGGACCCCTCTGCTCTTGAAATTCAAATGTTATTTTTCTGCTTATACTTATAATCAGTTCCCTTTAAACTCAGGGGCTGTTTCTCCTACTTCATTCATTCTGTCACATGATTCTTTTTTCCTAGAAAGACATGGCCTTGGAAACAACACCCCCGGCATGATGATGATCAGCATGCTGACACCACAGTTCCACAAAACCAACCCACTGGGATGTGTATAGGGCGTCCAAACCACGATTTAGTTGTTTGCCAATGTAGAGAGTTACTGTGTATTGTCCCAGGGAATTCGGGAGTTCAGTGACATCTTGCAGACAACGGCCCACATTTACCTCCAGGTCTGTCTAGAGATACATGCAAATGGATGGGGGAGAGGAGGGGAGGAGTGACATTTTCCAGGTCAGTCAATTCTCTAGTTAAGAACAGGTGGACGAGAATAAAGTTTTGGCTATCTTTTATCACAGATGAAAAGAACTGACAGGTTTTTAAGACTTATGGCACAACCTAAAAATGATTCATTCTGCAAGGCATAAAATAGTTCATGCTTTATAAAAATAGTATCATGATTTAAAAAAAAAATGCACTTCTACTGAAGGAACCATGTTCCAACAGTGCATAAAAGGAGTTCTGCTTAGAGCAGAACTAGACACACCGTTTCCCCATCCAACCCTTTCTTCCCTCCCAAAGCAAATCCTGTCCCTCCCAGTACTCTCCTGGGTGCCAGGGATGCTAGGCCACCGGAAGCAAGGAGACTTGGGGGCCTTGCAGGGTTAGGCACACCCAGATAGAAAAGCACAGTATCAGCTATCTTCATCAAGGACCGCTGGATGTTCCTTCCAGAAAGCATCCCCAATGATATCACAATGGAAGGGCACTGGTGTGGTCCTGGTGCGGGTCACTGCCTTCTTTTTTCCTTCCATTTCTGCTGGCAGTTTAACTTCTTTTGTCATGACTTCACCCACCTATGGATAAAAGTTAAAGCATTGACATTGTTAATTAGAGAGTGGGTTTGGGTGAAAAAGTGGGAGGTGTGAGAAAAATTCACTTTTTTATTTTATATCTTTGAAATACATATGGTGGTGGTGGTTATGTGCTGTGGAATCAATTCTGACTCACAGCAATCCTTTACAGGGTTCCGAAAAGCTGTAAATCTTTATGGGAGCAGAAAGCCTCATCTTTCTCCTGCAGAACAGCTGGTAGTTTCAAACTGCTGTCCCTGAGGTTAGAAGCCCAATTCGTAACCACTTGAAATGCATATACGTTTTTTAAAAAATTAAACTTATGTGTGTTTTCATACACACATATCTCAACATGCATGAAGTTCTTTACAATTTTAAAATACTTTTACAAGGTTATGTAGCTATATTCTGAAAGGAGGGATTCCATGTCTCTCACTAACACTAACTGCAGAATTAAAGGTATTTCTCTTCTGCCGTTTGCATTAAGAGTCATGCTGTGGGTTAATGTGCTGGACAGCAAAATCAGTATGCTCTACAAGGTCAGTGGTTCAAGGTCACCAGCTGCTCCTCGGGAAATCCTACACAGGGTCTCTATGGGTCAGAATTGACTCGAAGGCACTTAACAATTTGCATTAAGAAGGATCCAAGCCTGTGCCAAAGAACAAATGTGTTCTAAAAAGACTAAGAGCTGAAGTAGCCAGTGGAATAACTGAGTACTTCTTAGTACTAGGAAACATTCATTTTAGGAAGAAACTACTCTACAAAGAAGATAATTAACCAAGAGAAATCATAATGCCCAAGAGTTGGAACAGAGAGGAAATATGATTATATTTAAGTACTTTTATAAATGTACATACTTCTTACGTAATATGAAGGTAATTATCAAAGTCTGAGGAAGCTCAGGAACCTTCTGAAAGTAACAAAATCCTTAGATATAACATTTCTTGGTACCTCAGTCAGATAGATTCATGGGATGATAGATGATTGAATGGTATTATCCAGTGTGGAAAACACTGTGTTTGAAATGTTCTTTGAATGCAAGTCCTCATTGCTGTACCGTATCCTTTTAAACAGGCTCTGTTTGATCTGGGGAGTGTCATGACTCAGAAAATCAGTGCACTTTTTCTAGAATTCTGTGACTACTTAAGGAAGGGGAGATTCCAGGACCTGATAATATAAGCCCTGGACTGCTAACCACAAGGTTGGTACTTCAAATCCATCAGCCTCCTTGGAAACCCTATACAGGGTCGCCATAAGTCGGAACCAACTTGATGGCACTTAACAAGTTCATATTGACTTGACAAAATGAGCGTCTATAATAAAAATCTACACAATCTCTTTTGGAAAATATCAAGTACATGTTAGCCCCTGGGGTCATATCAGCATAGAGGTAGCAGACAAGACCATGCCTAGGATGGCCTAGGCTCTCTTCTTTCCAGATCTCCATTTTTCTGTGAACATAATAGCATTACCTTTTGCCATATCAAAACAGTCCCTTTCCTATACATCAGGGGCTCATTATTGTAGTTGATGTTGAATTCAGAAAATAAAATCTCATTCTTGTCTGCCGCAAGGGTTCCCTGAGAAAATAAAACAGGTATGAGTTTTGTATATCCATGCTCTCACCTCAGTCTAGCTATGCATTCCAGCCTCTAGCTAAGCTTCCACAAACAAATAAAGTAGTTGTTTTAGCAAATACTTATGGGTTATTATAAAATTTAATTTTAAAAGAAGTTCAAATCTTACGTTAGTACCACTGTATATTGTTGTTGTTGTTAAGTGCCATCGAGTCGGTTCCGACCCATAGCGACCCTGTACAGGGTTTCCGAGGGTGTAAATCTTTACGGGAGTAGAAAGCCTTATCTTTCTCCCGCGGAGCGGCTGGTAGTTTCGAACCGCTGATCTTAAGGTTCGCAGCCCCATTCGTAACCACTACGCTACCAGAGTACCACTGTATACAAGTACTTTATGTATAATTTCTTATTTGTTCCTCATAACTGTCTCCAGTTTAGAGTTGAGAAAACTGAAGCTTAAAAACATTTTACAAGTTGCCTAAGGTTGTTCTTATTCATTTAGTAAGAACAATCAAAATCTGAACCTCATTCCTCCAAAGCCTAGATATATTTACCCATATTCCAAGTGCTGCTATATATGTCTCCGTTATTAATACTGTTAATAAAGGCAACCATTTACTGCATAATTATAATGAACAAAGCATTGTATTAGAAGCTGCTGTGACACACTATTTCATTTCAGAATTATAGTTATTCTACAAGTAGCATCGTTATCTCAAAATAAAAGCACTTACAACGTGCTTCATACATTGACATGCATCATGCTATTTAATTATCACCAGAAACCTATTAGGTAGAAATATTATTTTCCACATTTTACCTATAAAGAAACTGAGGCAGAGAGGATAATATTAAACAGAACCATTATTTCAGTATGGTTATTTGACCCCAGAGCCTGAACTCTTAACCATATACAGGGGTTGTGAATCCAAAACCAGTAGACGCCCCATAGGTAATAGCAATGAGTGAAGAGTCCAGGTGGAGACAGACACTGAAGGAGCATGCTCTGTGTCAAGACGTAGCCCTAGGCCAATGTGGGAATGCAAAACTCAAGTCAAGAATTCCACTTGCCACCGGAGGAAACACACTCAGAAAGAAGTAACTCATCCAGGGTTATAGAGCAAGCAAGCAGCAGAGCTGTGATATCCTTTCAAAACAAAGCTGTCAAGAGAGCTAGAAGAGAATGTAACATGGGCTAGCCAAGTGTATAGAAAACTGTCCCCAGCTAAGTACTAAGGCAAGAAGATCTTTATACCTGTAACCTCTCTTGGGCTTGTACTGGTGTTAGTCCAGACTGTTGTATAAGTACCCAGAAAACTGTATTATAAAGATTATTGATGTGACCTGTGGGGAGAACAAAACAGTGTTCCAGAATCTTTTATTCAGTACTTAGATTTCAAAGAATATCAAATCCCTCCCACTTTCTTAAGAGATCTCAGAGACATTTAGTGACTTGCTAAAAGTCATCCACAGGAAAATGGGAAGGGTCAAACAGGAAAAAAACTTGTTTTCCATCAACAGTTTTATTCTGTCATTTCAGGTATGCTTTTCACTTGTTTGTAAGCTTACGAATACTATCAAAGTTATCTGATTTACATTATCCCAATCTCTTTTCCAGTTCTTGTGGTACAGTCAAAACACACCAAATGAGACTAAGTCTTACAGACATTTCATCACAGTCACGTAAGGCAGGTGTCACCAGTCAGATACCATTGAGGCCAGCTAGAACAGAAATGTGGGGAGCCAGTGGGGGATCCTGGGGAATCCATAAGGAATAGCAGATGCGAAGGGAACACGGCTGTGTGTGTATCAGGCAGGCAGCCACTGCACAGGCTCCTGACACTACGTGGGAACGCAGGCTCAGTGCTGCCAAGAGCTTCTGATTAAAAGTCACACTAAACACAGGGATTTCTTTTTTAATATCAAACATCCGACTTTTCAAATTTAACTGAAAAATTTTTTTTTAATACTAACCTCCAAATGAAACACACCTGTGAGGTAAACCTGTGCCAAATCACCACAGCCACTCTATGGACTTGGCAGATTAATTACCTCTGTTATTTGATGCTACTTACAATCTGCTTGTCTCCAGCTGAGATAGTCCTTTAAGGTCTGGTTGGTAGGATACAGCACAACTCTTCCATCAAAGCCTGGAGGATACAGAAGAGGCTGGTCCTCAAAGTAATCACGCCAATAAAACACATAGCTGGAGGCGAACTGGGAGGCCACATGAGTCATGAACTTACTTGTAAATGTAAAGCACATTGGGTGGAGCAAGAAAAGAGAAAATGCATGATATTAATTCAACACCATGATAGGGCTTGTGGGTGTAACAGAGAGATTATACAAACTGCCTGGCAAGCCAAGAGATAAAATGCATTTAGCCAAGAAAAAAACAGTACAACATTTCTGTTACATATTTTAAATGCAGCCTGCTTCTTCCTTCCAGTTCTGTAAGTAATGTTTTTCTCTGTAGGATATGAATATTTGGCTCAAGAGAGTATTTTTTTAGTCTTGGAAGGAAGAGAAGCACTATTTTAAAAAAATATGAATTCATTCTGTAACTTGTTTCCTTTGAATTTCCAAATATTACCAAGTTAAAAAAAAATTCTGTGCTTTGTGCTGATATATTCTTTAATTAAAAGCTTAAACAATACCAAGATACTCTTCACAAAAGGTGAACAGGTAAACAGATTTTAGTACATCTATGAAAAAACAAATTACGACCGCACTACTGTTGAGCCAATTTCCACTCACAGCAGCTCTACAGGACAGCAGAACTACCTCCAAGGTTTCCAGGGTTTTAGGGAATCATTAGGGTAGCAGACTGCTACATTTTTCCCTTAGTGGTGGGTTCTAAGCACTGACCTTTCAGTTAGCAGCCAAAAGCTTAACCACTTTGTACCATCAGGGTACATCTATACAATATAATATTAATCACAAATAAAAAGAACTGAACTATCACGCCACAAAAAAAATAGAGGAATCTTTAATAGATATTGCTAAGTGAAAGAAGCTATATAATAGTTTACTATCCAAATTATGTGACATTCGGGAAAAAGCAAAACTATAGCGACAGTGAAAAGCTCTGTAGTTGCCAGGGGGTAAGGAAGGTGCGTGAGACTGATGAACAGCTCTGTGGTTGCCAGGGGGTAAGGAAGGTGCGTGAGACTGATGAACATGTGTTGCACAGGGCATCTTTAGGGAGTAAAACTATTGTGTCCACACAGTAATAGTGGAGACATGACATTAAGCATTTATTAAAATCCATAGGAGTCTACAACACAGAGTGAACCCAAATGTAAAGTATGGACTTTAGTTAATAATAATGTATCAATATTTGTTCATCAGTTGTTAACAACTGCATGGCAGGAATGCAAAATGTTGACACACAAAAAAGGAGGGGTATATAGGTACTGTACAAGTTTTCTATAAACCTAAAACAACTCTAAAAAAATTTCTTCATAAAAAGACAGTTTTAACAACTTTGCAATGCATGTAGAGATTGTCACTGTATAAAGCCAGTGACAATCATTAATATTACATTCTTTTGGTCTGTTTTCAGGCTGACCATTCAATAGTCTATCAGTCTAGAAGCTACATTGATGGGAAATAAGGCAGCAGATTCAGATAAAGAGGCATACTGAAGGCTCAGGTATTAAAGGAAATACAACAGTTTAAACAGGAAATATACATATGAGGGGACTTCAAAAAGTTTGTGAATAAATTCCATTTTTCACAAACTTTCTGAAGACTCCTTATACACTTGTGTTGGAAATCATAAAGACATCATCTGTAATCTGTAAACCTGCAGAGGTAAAAAATATTCTTAAAAAATGAGTTAGGCCAAGGCAAGTATTACCTGGATCTTCTTTTAAACCAATTACTCCTCCGCTTGAACACAAAACTGTACTCATCACTCTGTCCGTATGCAATCACAATATCCTCTAGTTCTTCCATTACTGTTTGGGCACATTTAGTCATCAGGCGGAGAGCACGACTGTCATTAGGTTTTGCAAAGTTGTGCTTATCAGCAAACCTTCACAGGGGAATGACAGGAAGAAAAATGGTATGGATGGACGAGAGCTTGTCATTAAACCGCAGATCACAGACTGTAAGATACTATCAACAGACTGTAAGATACTATCAACAGAGCCGGGGACAAAGACAACCCACTATCCTAAACGCATTCATTTCCTTAAGAGTTCTAGTTTTTTGTTACCTGACTAGCTGAAAACAGGGGCTGGGGTGTGTGAACAACTGCTAAACCTTAATTTCTTTTTCTGTAAAATAGGGATGAAGAGTATTTACCTAAATGTGTTAATCTGAAGATTAGAGGAAGATAGCAAATCTAAATGTGTCTGACTCCTAGTGGTAGTGATGTGCCCTGGAGTCCGTTCTGACTCATAGCGACCCTGCACAAGATTTCTGAGGCTGTAAATCTTGACGGGAGCAGAAAGCATCATCTTTCTCCCGAGGAAGGGCTGGTAGTTTCGAACTGCTGACCGTGAGACTAGCAGCCCGACTCATAACCACTACGCTACCAGAGGTCCGACTAAGTGTCCTATAAATGTCAGTTCAATTATCATTATTTTAAAAGTACCCTTTCTCCTCCTTTCACGAAATTTCCATCTTTCTGCTATTCCTCCTTTAAAAAGTGGTCGGTTACAGATAACAAATAAGCCCAGAGGGGCGGGTTTCACAAACTTCCTGGAAAAATTGAATGAAAAGATAATGGAATCTTCTCCAGAAACTTTTTGAAGTCTCCTCGCACTGAAAAATGCTGTTCGCTGGCAGAATTTAAAGGTACTGACAGAATAGCCGAACTATAGACTGAAAAAGTGAATATGGTCCCTGGGATTGACTTTTTCCACAAAACCCTAGCTGACAGTCTCAGGAGTTATCTGGCTAACTCCTTATAAGAGGTACACCATGCCCCTTTAACTACCCAGGTCAGCCCGTGCCACTGCACTGCTGTTGCCAACTCTCAAGAGTGACGCTCAATGCCGAGCGCGCTCATTGGCTGCCGCGTCACCCCGGTAACTGTGAGCCTAGAGCAGCTAAGGAACATAGAGGGGTGCCTGGAAGTGTTGGAGCCCGTGCGGCAGCACCAAGCCCAGCTTGCTCACCGATGGAAATTCCTGCCATCCAGTCGCACCACCACCCAGCAATGGGGCAAGCAGGTGTCGTCAGCCTCGAAGTCCCGCACGTATTCGAATTTGCTCTTTGCCATGGTCGCTCCCAAACTCAGACACCGTTTCAGAATGACAGCGAGCGCCAAGTAATCACGAACATTAACGTTGTAGGCGGCCCACATTCCTAACCACGGAAGAGAAAAGTCTAGAGAGTCCCGCCCCGGAAGTTCTTATTTCTCCGAATGGCCGCTCTAGGCATGGTGGAGGTCAACTCTCTAGTTTCTCCGTAATTCACGGAGATAAGTCTTTTCCTTCTTCTTCTTCTTCTTCTTTTTTTTTTTTTTTGGTCTTCGTTTTCTTTGCATTATTCACGTTCTTCACAGTTGTCTTTCTGCCCTGCAACAGGTCACTGTTTTGAAGTTTAAAGAAAACCCTTACTGGCCAACTTTAAAAGATTGCTATGATTTGCTTTCTTTATAAATGTTAGGCAACACCTAGTAATTCTAGCTCAAAGAGGCTCCTGGTGTGCAGTAGAGAATTGTTTCAGAGGGTTTTCAAGGCTGTGACTTTTCAAAATCAAGCTTTAGTTCGGAGGCACTTGTGGATGGGTTTAAACCACCAGCATTTTTTTTTTCCTGTTAGTATTCCAGAGTTTAGCCGCTTACACATTCATTGTAGAAAATGTTGACTATATAGAAAAATATAAGAAATTTAACACTTCTTACACCCCCCCCCCCCAAAGCATTGTGGTAGATTCCTTCCAGTCTTTTTTCTCTTCGGAGGAAAAATGGAATTAAAAGATAATGGAATTTCCCCCCTAACTTTTGAACCCTTCAAAATAGGAATCATACTCCTATACAGTACATTTGTTCATTTAACCTATTTTTTTCAGTGTCATTAAATATTGCAAAACGTAATTTTCAAGAGAAAAATTTATTTTTACTGTTCCAACAAAGACCTCTGGTGGCACAGTGGTTAAATGATTGGTTGCTAACTGAAATGTCTACTGTTTGAAGCTCACCAATTTCTCTGCTGGAGAAAGATGTGGCCCTCTGCTTTTGCAAAGATTACAGAGAAACAGAGGAAGACCCCCCCAACGAAATGGATTAGCCAAGTGGCAGCATCGATAGACTCAAGAGTGACAATAGTAGTGAGGTTGGCTCAGGATCAGGCAGTGTTTCATTCTGCTGTGCATAAGGTCGCTATGGGTCGGTACCAACTCAATGGCACCTAACAACAACAGTCTTGGAAACCCTACAGGATAGTTATACCATGTCCCTGATGTGGCCCTGTGGGCTAATGCATCAGACTTCAAAGTCATTTGAACTGCAAGGTTGGTGGTCGAAGTTCACCAGCTGCTTCTTGGAAACCCTATACAGTGTCACTGTGGGTCGGAATCGACTCAATGGCACTTAACAACATAGGATGCAGTGAGTCAGAATCAACTTGAGGGCTTGGGTTTGGTTTTTCATTCTCACATAAGGGGGAGGGGATTTCAAAAAGTTCGTGAAAAAAAAATCCAGTATCTTTTCATTGCATTTTTCCATGAAGGTTTTGAAGCCCCTTGAACCAGTAACAGCTGCTGTCATGTAGACTGCCAATTAAGGCGACTCCACGTACCTAGCGAGATGGCTTGGCAATATGGCAGCATCAGTGGACTCAAGGGTGGCAACAATTGTGAGGTTGGCCCAGGACTGGGCAGTGTTTCATTATGTTGTGCATAGGGTCGCTATGAGTTGATACCAACTTGATTGCATCTAACAACAACGTGTCCAAATACAAATGTGATCCCTAAAGATTTCAATGGCTAATTTTTCAGAAGTAGATCATCACGCCATTCCTTCCTAAGTGCTTCTGAGTGGTTTGGGCTTCAAACCTTCAAATGTTCTACACTAATTTTTTTCAACTTTATTGATGTCTTGTGGCTGGTAAATAATGAAAGCAATCAAACCTAATATTTGTGTGCTGCTTTATGATTTATACTTTCACACTAATTCCCTAATTACATTAATTTTATTTTCATTCTCAAGAAAATAATTCAGATGTGAAAGAATATGTGGAGCAAAATAAGTCACTCAGTAACTTTACTTGTTTATCCATCCAGGGATATGCCACAATTGTACTATATTTCTTTATGTCTGTTCATTTTTTAAAAGTATTTTTATTGAAAACTAACATATATATAGAAAAGTCTACAAAACATAGTATACCTAGCACCAAATCAATAAATAGAAGATTTAACCTTAAGAAACCCATCTGAATTATTATCAATGGTTCTCCTCCTAAAACTAATAACTTTCTTAACATTTGTAATTTAGCTTCCTGTGTATTCAATCTGGTGAGAGCCATATGTATAGTCACTTGTGTTATTGAAAATAGATATCTGCAATGAGTAAGTCACTGGTCTTGCAAAATTCTATCATGTAATCTCTGGCATTGTTTTAGTGACCAAGGCCATATTTTCCAGCTACAGGTCCTTTTTTGTTTGCAATTTCCACATTCTACAATCACCAGTAATTATCAAGGCATCTTGACTGTATGCTTGATCAGTTTCAGACTGCAGAAGTTAGTAAAAAAAATTCCATTTATTCATCTTTGGTATTAATGGTTGGGGTGTAAATTTGAAAAATCATCATCAATTGGTCTTCCATTGTATGCGTATGGACATTATTCTATCATTGACAAGCGTTGTACTTTAGGATAGGTCTTGAAATGTTCATTTTGACAAAAAAATATGATGACCTTCTTTAATTCGTCATTCTTGACATAGTAGACCCTACAATTGTCTGATTCAAAATGGCCAGTACCAGTCCTTTTCAGTTCACTAATACCTAGAGTCTACCACTTGTCTGTCAGTTTGTTGTACTGTGGTGGCTTGTGAGTTGCTGTGATTCTGAAAGATATGCTACCGATATTTTAAATACCAGCAGGGTCACCCAGGGTGGACAGGTTTCAGATGAGCTTCCAGATGAAGACTGACTAGGAAGAAGGAGTGACGAACTATTTCTGAATATTTAGTCACTGAAAAACTTAAGGATAACAGAGAAACACTGTCAGATATAGTGCTGGAAAATGAGCCCCTCCGGTTGGAAGGCATTCAAAATGTGACTGGGAAAGAGCTGCCTCCTCCTTGACCATGATGATGTGAATGGAGTAAAGCCTGTGGGAGAAAAATTCCATGGGACCTTCATTTGCTGATGGGGCACAACTCAAAATGAAGAGAAACAGCTGTAAACATTTATTAAAAACCAGAACATGGAATGTACGAAGTTTGAATCTGAGAAAATTGGAAGTTGTCAAAAATGAAATGGAA